TGAGGTGGAGAGGAAGCCCCAGTTGCTTTATACAAGGTGTTGAATGTCAAGCCAAGGTTGTTCCCATGGCATGTCTTTGAAATTTGGGAGGAATGGAAGAAAATCTTTTAAGATCTGGGCTGTAGGAAGGTACCTGATTATAGTATGTAGATTGGGAAGTCACCAGAGACAAAGGGACCTGTTGGAAGTCTCTGGTGCTAATCCAGGCAGGAAGGGATTAAACAAGTACTGATAGGGGAAACAGTGACCCACTACTGTGAGACCACAGAGAGAGTGCAGCATATTAATGAAGTCTGCAGACTTCTCATCCTGCACTTCCATTTTCTTGTCTGGAATAGCCTCCTCAGTGCATTTCGTATATTTAGTGTGCCTCTAAGTTACCAAGGCTTGCCGTGCATTCTATAAAGACCATACTGTTACTTGGAGCAAAAAGGAATTTGCTTTACCAAGTACAGATTATGAATGGAAAAGCTAGAAGAATATTAAGATAAACCTATGTGGAGATTTAGCAGGACATGGTGAATTAAACACAGGCAGGGAGTGTTCAGGCATAGGTGGGAATTTCAGTTTGACAAGTGTTGAACTGGCAGCTTCAGGAAAAACGACACTGCTTTAATTTCTCCATCAGCTGAAATGCCTCCATTAATAGCAGTATATACCTCGAACAGCCTTTGAAGTCACGTGGTCCAAAGTCCTTATGTTAAGAATGAAGGAATTTGTCCCACATTGTATGTAATGAAGCAATGAGTCTTAGTAATAGCGACAAATGAAAAGGAAATCTACCTTCCATTCACTATGTCCAGTCAGCCTCCATCCCCATTCTCTTATGAGCACCTGTTCCCCTCATGGCTTTTACCTGACCATTTTATTTTAGATTCACCAGAAGAAATTCCATGTGTTGGAAATCTATGTCCAGACTATCTTTCTTGTTCCCCTGCTACGCAACAAATCCTATAGTCTATACAAAACAGCCACAATGACTTTCTTGTCATTCACATTTCCTGTTACCTGATAGCTACACAAGCTTATTTATTGGGATCCTTTTCCTCTAAGACTGTCAGGCTCTATTCACCCTTCAAGATCCAGTCACCTCCCCTGAGACACCTTTGTTAATTGCCCCTTAGAGAGCTCAATTCCACTTCTGTACCTCCTGTCCAGTTTGTTCATGCTAGTACATCCCAGTCTTCTCCATTTTGATATCTCTGTTTTGTCCACTAGCGCTACGATGTATAACAGCTAATATTATGTTTTACTTTATTTATTTATTACAGTGTCAGCACTTAACACAATGTCCAGTGGCAGATTGTCGACACACAATAATTGCTTAAGAATAAATCTGCCTGGATTCCTTAGCCCATAGACTTGGCTGGGTGCTGTATGTTGGATATCCCCTATTTGTTTCCAGAAACTTGGGTAGGGGTTGTTTAGTATGGCCTAATAGACCCAATTAATGTAGTCTCTGCTGAGATCCAAAGCAAGAATTCTTGATTGAGAATTACTATATGGATAGTCAAGAATCACAGCCACAGACCAGATGCATTATCATGTATAAATAGATGTTTGTGGAATGCTTACAGCTAAAATATGTGTCATGCCAGACTAGTCCTTCTATCAAGTATCCCTCCTCTTTGGAATTGAATACCCAGGCATCTGAGGCTAGTTAAATCCTCCTCTGTGTCCTTCTCGTAAGCTCCACTCTTGCCCTTACCGGGTGATAATATTAATAGAAATAAATGATGCTGTTATTTAACTCCAGATTCTGCTCTACAGTGCATTCTTCCTTATCTTGGCTGCTATTGCTGCAGTGATGATGGTATCTGCCCTTATCAGCATCTGTGTTTCCTTTAGTTCCTATTCTCAGCACAATTATGCCACATGAGACCAATCTCCCAGTCAAGCAGAGAAATCCTGCAACTCCTGTTATTTGTTCCACTTCATACATTCATGTCTGTTCAGTTTGTTTTCCCACCCACTAGACTGTCACTGGGATTTGCAAGTTATACCTTGTCCTGGGTCTGTGTTACAAATTACCGCCAAAAAAAAATAGACATAAATGTGATATACTGTATTCTTAATTATTTGATGCACAATTCGAGCATTAAGACATTGGCATGAGCATTAGGTCACAGAAATTCATACATTCACTGTAAATCTTGAAGATAGAACGATAACTGGGTCACTGAGGTTTGAAAGGCATGAATGAAATAGAAAAGGTTGTCAGTTTGCATAATTATAGTTAAAAGAAATTTATAGAGTGGCTGTGTAGCCCAGGGCTTTAATCAGTGCAGTTAAAAATACATTAACAAGTGCTTCTGATCATAACTTTGTCTCATGCACACATTTCCATGGCAATGGGCCAGATGCATTTAATGCAATTCAAGGATGACAAGGAGGATGGATGGCCTCTAATGAGCAATTGATTACCAGTAAGCAGAGAGAGATTAAGCATCCAGTTTCCACTCCCTTCTCATCTGGAGGCTATATCCATTGGTGTGGTTCTTTACCCAAGCTTATTCATGAAGTAAGGGATAAGAAAGAAAAACAATTTTGGGTTTTAGTATTTGAAGATAATGAGTCTCAAATTGCAAGGATGGACATAAATCTTGGTGAAAAATGTAAGTGTGCAGAAATAACCTTCAGTGTCTAGCAGTTCACTCAAACTATGACCTGGGTCTTTGGTCTTAAAGTTATTAAAATGATTGGAGGAAAATGGATTAAAAATTATAGGATAGTATTATCTGACAGACTGATTATTATGCATAAGTGTGTTCCAGTTTCCATTTAAAAAACTACTAGTTTGTTTTCAGCAGCTGTAACTTGAGCTCTCACAGGCTGACACATGAGGATACGCAGGAAACTTTGGGAGGATATTGCTGGTCTGGTGACTGCATTCACCTAGCCTGCTGGCCCAGCTTTCCACTGTGTGAGGCTAGAATAACATGGCGGCCCTAGGGAGGTTCATCACAGCTGGGCTCTCATAACATGGAACATGTTAAGGACCTGGCAGTGTACTAGAGATTACTAGACAAAAGATCACCAGGTCTAGCTCTTAAATACCTTTACCATGGCTGAATTTTTATACAGCAAAATACAGCACAATGATATTGAATATGTTGAAAAGAACCCTGCCTTGGAGTGGGTTGTACTGGTTATGACAAAGTAGCATCTTTTCTGGCTTCTTGGAGTCTATTGAGGTCCTGTTTGCACACAGCATGTTAAAGCCACATGAGATCCACCTTATGTCCCACCACCTATCTGTCACACTTCACCATCAATAAAAATGTTTGCTGTGTTGCTTGTAAGCCAGACTGCAGTCGTTGCAGCTACAAAGATGATCTCCATCATAGAAATGATTCCTTATTTCACCGAGTAAATAATCACCTTTTATAGTAATAAATATTTTTTAAATGTTATTTCACTCTCCAGTTACTTTTTATGGCTTATTAAAATACTGTCCTAGGCCCTCCCTGGTGGCGCAGCGGGTTAAAGCACAGCGCTGAGAATCTAAAGCCGCTTCCGCATGAGTTCGATTCCTGCCTGCCCTGGAGGTGGCCACATGGCGTGGCAGACCTCTCCTGACCCGCCCGCTGCTCCCCTCAGCAGTGTACTTCGTCGATCTGCCTGTTCTGCTCCCCACTCTGTCTCTGGTGAAGCCTCTTACCGCCCCTGAGCCTCTGGCCTGTCCCCCAGTTCTATAGGCACAAATAAATAAATCTTTAAAAAATAAGTAAATAAGTAAAATAAAATACTGTCCTATTTGGGGAATATATATGAACTAGATGGTGTCACTTAAGGGTAGAATCTAGAGAAACAAGACAAAGGAGCAGGTAAAGCTGAGACTATATGACTCTAGTGAGACATCCACCAGCAAGCAGTATTGTGGGGGGAAAAGAGAGGGTGAGAAAAGCAGAGAGGTATGCACAGTGGACTCTGGGTGCTTTGTTGGTGGGAGCACTCTGGTAATCTGATGGGAAGGTTGGGGGTGTGCGATCTTACACTTCCAAAGACAAACTATGGAAACCAATGTTACCTCAATATAAAATAATTACTTTTTTAAAAAATCAAAAATAAATTTCTTATCCATCCTACTTGACAATGAATGTATACGCTGTTAATTTTTGCCAAAGACAGCATGCAAACACCAGAAAGTCTAATGTCTACTAGTATTCAAGTAGCATTCTGGTGAAAGTATGCCATTGCAACTTTATGTTAATAATTTTGATTTATATTTTCGTGTTTCTTGTCTTAAAAGTCTTGATCTCTTTCATCTAGATGGATCATTTTTAGCAGAGTGTGATCACAATCCAGTTTCAGAAGCTCTCAAAAGTCATGCAACCTCTTCCCAGAAAGACACATATTCTGACATAAAAAACAAAAAAACAGATGACATAACTCCTGAGGACTGATCAGTTTGAGCAACCCAGCATTAAATGGCCCTACTCCCAAAGACACAACCCCTGGCATTTCCAATTCTTTTTGAAAACAGAAGGACCATCTTCCAAGAAATCATACTTATGGATTAAAATTTCATTTCCAGTCCAAAATACTGAGAAATTTATATTTGGCCACAAATATGCCACCGAGCAGTTGCCTCGGTGATGGAAAATGAATTACGAGGCCAGGCTTCTGATAAATTTAACGTGAATTTAGGCCAGAATCTTAGGGCTTCCCTAAGTATGACCATATGTGAGCGGCATGACCGTGGGAGGGACCTGAACTCTACATCTGGCCCGAGGAAGGCCACAGCTATAGCAATAGCCATGCTCGGATCCTCCATCTCTTTAAATATAATGAGTCCCATCAGCCTTCTGTGCTGCTGGGGGCCAGACGAGCTTCGACAGTCAATGCCATTCGTTTGACTATGGAATGTTTCCAGAGCTGAACAGGTGACATCATAAACATACCCAGCCCTGGCCATTTGGAGCTAGCAAGTGGCTCGACGAGGTGGCTCCTTCTGGATGTAAATTGGCTTGAATGATTTCTTTCTTTCTCCTGGGCAGGATTTATGCGGGCATCATTCATGTGACACGCTGGGAATGGCGGACGTGGGGACCATATGTTCTCCAGAGCGCAGCTGTGCTGTGATTGAAGATGACGGCCTGCACGCAGCTTTCACCGTGGCTCACGAAATTGGTATGCAGCGCCTTTCTTGTCCCTCGCCAAATCAAACACTTGTAACAGCTGCAACAGGAACCAGCATACTTGGCAATTAATTCCAGATTTCTCCTGGTTCAGATGTTCCCTGGGGGATGAAGTTTGTTTGTATTTGCACTCTTAGGGTTAACGCAAGAAAGGGAGGGAAGGCAAAGTCAATCACACAGTAGATGTTTCCTGCCTGACAGTGGCCTTGAAACATTTAAGAGAAATTCGCTCCTGCTACTGTCCTTTAAAGTAGCCGTGAATTAGATGAAATTGGTCATGGTGGGCTCCGGAATGTAGAGATGTCTCTCTTCAATGTTCTTCAAAACAGTATTGACGCATCCAGGGCTAATCAGTTTTCACAGAAATTTATCATGTTTTATTTGCTTGGGAGTGATCCCAGCCGCCTCCTGACAGAGGTAATCAGGGCACTTGCAGTAAGCCTCCATGCCTTGCGTTAGAGCGTTCATTTCTTAACAATTGTTGTATGAAGGTAACTGTTTTGTCCCAACTTCTGTGACCGGCCGCAAGAAAAGAAGGCGGAGGGCAGAAAGGCTGAGCAAGCAGAGTTTATTGCTCCAGGACAGCAGCTGAGACAGAGCCCCTAGGGTGGGGTCCGCAGCTACAGCCCACTCAATAGGGGGAAGGGTCTCTTATATAGGTCCTAAGCTCAGATTTCAAAGGGGTGACTCATCCCTGTGTCCTTGATGTAAGGCGTAACCTTCATCTAGCCCCATCCCGACGACCCAAGGACCCGTTAATTAGATGCAAGGCCCAATTTATTACCACCTTATCACCTTTGGATGCAAGGCCTGATTTATTATTGCCCTTATCCAGTCCCTCAGTAAATCTCCGCATTTGGTCACTCCCAACAGTAACATTGGTTTGCAACACTATGATTCGGAAATACAGGGTCCCGCCTCCTCAGATGTCCGCTGTCCCACCATACCCACCAACCTGCCTGGTGTCTAGAAACTAAGACAATGAAACCCCGGCAAAGGCCAATGGGCTGTGTTTGCTGTCAGGAACACAGCCAGCTCCTCCAGCTAGAACTGTAGAACTGAGTTAATTGTTGAACACGACCCTAACAATTAGGAAAATGTGTTTCCCAGTCACTGATGTCAACTACCAGGGAGCTTGAGAAGTTAGTTTGGACTCGGGTTTAGACATCAGAATTAGGTCTTCTGGGCTCCATTCTTGCAGAAGAACATTTGATCTGTGTCCCCTGGGTCTTCTGTAAACTCTCTAAGATTGTTTTCATATCGGATATGTAAGATGATGAACGCCTATTCTTGGAATCAGCGTAAGGACCGAATGCAAAGGTTTATAGATACCAGCCCTTTTCCAGTTTACCTTTCTGTTAAATCATTCATTTACTTTAGTATGTATATATCACCATTAGCATCATCTTTGGGGGGGCCAAACTATGGTTTATTACGATTTTACATATTCCCTGCCTTTCATTTGACAGATTTCAGTTTTCAAACCTGTTTGATTTGAAACCGTATTTTTTACATAACAAGGAAAACTGCTTTTTCACCTTCTTAGAAAGTGGAGAACCATTCACACAGGTCCATTTTTTGCTGCCATTTTTCTCGGGGGAGTTCAAAAAACATCAAAGATGTAATTGCATATCAGAGTGTTATGACTATAAAATAGAAATCAGTCATTAAATATTAATTCTTAAGAATTAGTCAGGACTTTAATCTTCTTAACTGATAGTCTTCTTATATCTAAAGCAAAGTAACACGAACATAAATCCTTAATCCAAATAACTTCCAACAGCCTGCCAATCAAATGCCCATTAAATCTGAGTTGCAAGTGTGTGTCTGTGATCTCTGTTTTTACCTCATGTGAGTGACTTACCCTCTCTGGGTCTCTCTCTTTCTTTAAGGAGGGCTAATAATGAGACATGGATCTCTAGTGTGCTATACTGGGAGAGTGGAAAGTGTTTTTAAAATACACAGCCACTTCAGAGATGGGATTAGGACTTCACCTGTCTCTTATTCATGCCTGTTAAACTAAGTGATAAAAACACAGCCTAAAGAGATCCTGAGTCAATATTTACTACCAATCTGTGCATGAGTGTGTACTGGAGTGTGTGTATGAGAGCTGCCCAAGGCAACTTTCTGATTTTGCAGTAGAAGCTAAGGAGAATTAGTTCAAATACTTGAGAGGATTGTAGTTAAGCAGGGGAGATTTAGAAAGTACATCAAAAACTAAGCACCATTATTCGGATGGAGAGAAGTCTCATAGGAAACACTCTCAATCTCTGGGAAGCCCGAGGCTGGATCATCTTAGGCTGAAAAATAATGAGGAATAAGCAACAGAGTTGATGGCTGGCATCATCCATCCAAAAGATTATAAACCTAACTCCCAAAGATGCGATGAAAACTCCTTAAAGGAAGTGCTGTTTCTTCTCCTCTCTTTCCCCCGTCTTTGGTTTTTTTTTATGATTTACTTATTTATGCATACAGAACTAGGGTACAGGCCAGAGGTGCAGGGGCGGTGAGAGGATTCACCAGAGACAGAGCGGGGAGCAGAACAGGCAGATCGACAAAGTACACTGCTGAAGGGAGCAGTGGGCAGGTCAGGAGAGGTCTGCTGAGCCATGTGGGTCACCTCCAGGGTGGAGATCAAACTCACGCTGAAGTGGCTTTAGCTTCTTATTGCTGTGTTTTAACCTGCTGCTTCCTTTTTACAAAAGGAGTCAGAGGTGGCTTTCCAGAGGCAGCTCTGTGTTCAAATCCATGTGGTTTCCTTATCTGTGACCTTGGGCTTGTCAATCACCCCCTGATTCTGTTTATTCAGTTTACCAGTTTAAAAATGAGGTAACAGCTATTGTGGTGGTGACAGTTTTTATGAGCTGCCCTGCTTCAGTGCTTTTTACAGGCCCATTATAGGGCCAGAAAGAAGCTATCCCAGACTTTCCTTCTTTAGAGTGGAAAAGGGGTAGCCCCCCTCCACAGCACCACAAGCACACACCTTCTGTGAAGACTTGCATCTGGAGGGAAAGCCAGTCAAAAGGAGGGTTGCGTCAGGGAGTCAGGCTGACTGCATGGAGAAGCTTCTCTGAGGCTAGAAGCCCATGTGGCCTTGCACAGAGCTGCTTCCAGAAGAAAGGGGAGGACTTGTACGTCACGTGCTTTGCAAATAGGAGCTCCATGCGTTCCCACCTTGCAGGTGCCATGGCTGCCAACTAGACAGGAGTGAGTGGGCCGCACCTGGGGACCTCCCACTTGGCGCAGATGCAGGAGGTCTCCCCTGAATCTCCTCCGCACCACAGGAAGTGCACAGAGGAGGTGGGGAGCAGGAGAGGAAGACAAGTGTGTGCGTGCCTGCCCCAGCTGTGGTACCTTAGCTGCCTTCAGCGGTAAAGTGACCCTTTCTCACACACAGCTAACATCTGGGAGGCTTCCCAGCTAGAACCACTGTGGCAGGAAATGAAGCTTCTTTGGGGTTACATTGCCTGTGAAGGCAGCTGGGCTGAAATAAGGGACCTTCCAGCCTTACCTTTCCAGGTCCCCCAGAACTGCTAAGCCAAGGGTTTCAGGTTGCACAGGCACACCCAGCAGCCAGGAGGATACTGATAAGGATCAGTATTTTTAAAACTAGATGTGTGCAGTAAGAGCCATTCTTGATAATAAATAGAAGCACTAAGAGAACAATGTAAGAGAAATGTATCTATGAGAGATATCACACCTGAGTCTTTGACATATGACCATAAATAGAAGCACTAAGAGAACAATGTAAGAGAAATGTATCTATGAGAGATATCACACCTGAGTCTTTGACATATGACCATAAATAGAAGCACTAAGAGAACAATGTAAGAGAAATGTATCTATGAGAGATATCACACCTGAGTCTTTGACATATGACCATAAACAGGAGTCCTTTAATTTCTGGAGCAAATCATCACTATTTACTTTTTTAGAATCGCTATAATTATTTCTCATATCAATTACTGCCTCCTTAATTTCCCCTTTTGTATAACGTCTGGCTTAATCTGAGAAATTTGAGATCTGAGTGTAGGGGAATATGGGTTTAATTTTCTATTTATAAAGGGATCTGGATTTCATTTACTTTATTTTCTAATTGTTTTATGACTCTTTAATTTCATTTTTTGTCTGGATGTTGTGAACATGTGCTCAAAGTATGAGCCCTTAGAAAAATAGAGAAGATAATCTTACAAAATATGCCCATATCATCTGTATGTGATTACAGTCTTTGCCTCTTCAGCTCGTGTGATCTTGGGTAATATAGTTTGCTGATCTCTTTCCAATTCTTTATTTTTAGATTGTTGCATTAAGTCATCAGTCTGCCCTAATCATGTTGTGGATTCTAACGCCACTCTACTTTTATCTAATATTTTTCTTTCTCTTTTATTAGATATTTATTACTTTTCAGATTTGCAGATTACCTCTAGAGGCTTTCTATACTGATGGAAATAATTTCTTGAAACTTCAGGTCTGCTAGAGTGTTTTTAATTCACTTGCGCCCATTTTAAAACGTGCAACTTGCTTCATGCACAGTGTAAATATATTACTGTGCTCAAACACATCTATGAAGAAAATTTCCAATTCATTCCCATACCTTTTTTCTACTTTATTTATTCTTGAAGTTCTAAAAGGGTACTTTGGCTTAAGAATAAGCACTTTGGATTAAGTCTCAGCACAAAGAAGCTATCAGCAGGGGTTTGAGTTTGATGCCGTGGCCAGGGAGCTGTCTCACATGGCACAACAGACCTCTCCTGTCTCCCTGCTGCTCCTCTCCAGGCAGTGGATTTCAGTCAGTACACCTGTTCTGTTCCCCACTGTGTCTCTGGTGAATCTCTCACGCGTTAGCCCCACACCTCTGGCCTGAACCTCTTGTATGCATAAATACATCATTTTTAAAAAATGAATAGCCCTTCCAGTGGATGACTGTGATTGGAATGTCCCACCCTTATCACTCTATATACATTGTGGTGAAAAATATAAGGAACATCCTAC